ATATAGAGGCCAGGCATGGTGACTCAATGCCTTTAATCCCAGGAAGTGAGCCTTTAATCCCAGGAAGTGATGGCAGAAAGCAGAAAGGTATATAAGGCGTGAGGAGCAGAAACTAGAAGCTTTTGGCTGGTTAAGCTTTTAGGCTTTGAGGAAAACAGTTCAGCTGAGATCCATTTGGATGAGGACTCAGAAGCTTCAGTCTGAGGAAACAGGATCAGCTAAGGAATTGCAAGGTGAGGAAGCTGTGACTTGTTCTGCTTCTCTGATCTTTCAGCGTTCACCCTAATACCTGGCCCTGGGTTTGATTTTATTAGAAAGTACCTTTAAGATTCACGCTACACACTGGCTATATAGAAAACTTGCCATGGACTTTACTCCGTGTTGCAGAGAGAGGCGGTGCATTTCTGTGACCCCAGCACTTGGGAGGCAGGGCTAAAAGGACGAAGAATTCAAAACCAGCCTGGGCCTCATGAGAGCCTGTCTCAAAAAAAAATCTTCTTTACCCCATATTATGCTTTCTGCTTAATTTTTTCCCACTATTCTATAGGTTCTCACTATTCTGAAGGTCCTTTGCCCTGCCATATAGAATAAAATCTAATTTATAAAAAATATTGCCAAGGGTTCGATGGAAATTCCATTAAACTTATAAATCATTTAAAAATTGTGTTTGTTTGTTTGTTTGTTTGTTTGTTTGTTTGTTTCAAAATAGGGTTTCTCTGTGTAGCCCTGGAACTTACTCTGTAGATCAGGCTGTCCTCAAACTCACAGAGATCTGCCTGCTTCTGCCTCTCAAGTGCTGGGATTAAAGGTGTGCACCACAACTGCCTGGCTAAAGATTTCTCTTTCTTTCTTTCTTTCTTTCTTTCTTTCTTTCTTTCTTTCTTTCTTTCTTTCTTTCTTTCCTTCCTTCCTTCCTTCCTTCCTTCTTTCCTTCCTTCCTTCCTCCCTCCACCTCCACCCCCCCCCCCGCCCCTCTGCCATATGTGTGCAGGTAACCACAGATGCCAAGAGAGGATGTCAGATCCCCTGGAGCATTGGAGTTAAGAGAGGTTGTGAGCCTCTCAATGTATATTCTGGGAACCAAGTTCAGATCCTGTGAAAGAGTACCAAGTGCTCTGAGCCACTGAGCCATCTCTCTAGTTCCCTACAGAGCAATTTAGAAAAAGAATGGTATTATTATTACATTGTCTTTCAATCAATGAACATGGTATAGCTCTTGTTTATTTAAATTTTCTTTAATTTCCTTCAACTGTATTTTGCTATTTTTACCATATGGCTTTTATGCATATCTACTATGCTTTGGGGTTTTTTTTTGTTTGTTTGTTTGTTTTTTTGAGACATGGTTTCTTTGTGTAACAGCTTTGGCTGTCCTGGAACTTGTTTTGTAGACTAGGTTGTAGAGTCGCTTTGTAGACTCTGGCCTTAAACCCAGAGATCCGCCTGCCTCTGCCTCCTGAGTGCTGGGATTAAGGGTGTGGGCCACCATGCCCAGCTTGGTGCTACATTTTCTATTTTAGTTTCTACATAATCCGTATTAGGATGTAGAGTTTAATATGTCCATCTTACCCTCTATGACCTTGTTGAAATTGTTAGGAGTTTTTGTTTTGTTTAATTTGCAGCTTCTACAGATGTCATGGAATAGTTAGTTGTATTGTGTACAAATCTGGACAAATTATTTCTGTTTTTGTAAACTATATGTCTTTTATGTTCTTCCTTGCCTTGTGCTGGATAGAATTTTCAGTATGGTGTTGGATAAGATAGTGAGAATGGACACCCTTGTTTTTCCCTAATAGTAAGGTGTGATGGCTAACATCAATTGTCAGCTTGACAGCATCTAGAATCAACTCTAAGACAAGCCTCTGGGCACACTTGTGAGGGCGATCTAGATTAGGATAATCTCTGGGCACACTTGTGAGGGCTATCCAGATTAGGTTAATCTCTGGGCACACTTGTGAGGGCTATCTAGATTAGGTTAATCTCTGGGCACACTTGTGAGGGCTATCCAGATTAAGTTAATCTCTGGGCACACTTGTGAGGGCTATCTAGATTAGGTTAATCTCTGGGCACACTTGTGAGGGCGATCTAGATTAGGATAATCTCTGGGCACACTTGTGAGGGCTATCCAGATTAGGTTAATCTCTGGGCACACTTGTGAGGGCTATCCAGATTAGGTTAATCTCTGGGCACACTTTTGAGGGCTATCCAGATTAGGTTAATCTCTGGGCATGCTTGTGAGGAATTTTCTTGATTAGGTTAACTGGGGTAGGAAGACCAATTTTTAAGGAAGATGACAGCATTCCCCAGTACTTCGATCTTAGGCTGCATCTGACTTCTCTGTTGTCATCTCTAATGTCTGGACAACTTCAAGTGCTTTCTAAGTAACTTCTCAGCTGGCATGCTTCTTTGACACAATACTAAAGGAACTGAACAAAGATCTGTGCATGAACACCTGCCACCCTCTGTGTCATATATGCAGTAAATACTCATAACACATAAAGATAGATGATAGACAGACACATACATACATACATACATACATACATACATACATACATACATGATGGAGACATAGATAGATACTATTAAACTTGATTTTTTTTTTTTTTGGTTTTTTGAGACAGGGTTTCTCTGTGTAGCTTTGATGCCTGTCCTGAAACTTGCTCTGTAGACCAGGCTGGCCTTGAACTCACAGAGATCTGCCTGGCTCTGCCTCCTGAGTGCTGGGATTAAAGGCATGCATCACCACCACCCAGCTTAAACTTGCATTATTAAAAATTAGATAGATACATACATACATACGTACATACATACATGCACACACACACACACACACACACACACACACACACACACACACACACACAATTTAATTTGCATTGTTAAAAGACCACTCTGATTCCTTTGTACGGAGTGTATTGACAAAGAAGCATGTCAGCTGAGAAGCCACTTAGAAAGCCACTTTATTGTCTGGATGTTAGAGATGTCAGTAGAGAAGTGAGACACCATCAGATTCAGGACGTATAAGCAGGATCAGATGAGACAGCTGTTGGATCAGGTGTGGTTGTGGGGAAAGAGGGCTAATGTAGAAAAGGGAAAGACCAAGAACAGTGAGAGCAGTACTAGGGAGAACAGAGATTCTGTTCACAAGATGTGAAAGACCGGAGTGGAGGAAGTGAGATGGGATGAAACGGAATACAAAATCAAGAGCTCTGTTTTAGGCTCAAAAAAGTTTGAAGCATCTTTTAGAGCTCACAGGCAATGTTAAGCAATTAGATGTTAAGTCTGGGGCCAAAAGGAGAGGCATTTCAAGCCCTGGAACTGGGTAACATCACCTAGGGAGGATGTGATAGCTAATCTTGGTTGTCAACTTGACTACATCTAGAATCAAGTAAAAGCCTAAGCTTCCGGGCACTCCTGTGAGGGCTTTTCTTTTCTTTTCTTTTCTTTTCCTTTTTTTTTTTTTTTTCTGTTTTGGCCTTTCAAGGAAGCATTTCTTTGTGTAGCCCTGGCTGTCATTGAACTGAGAGATTCACCTGCCTCTGCCTCTCATGTCCTGGAATTAAAGGCATGTGCCACCACTTCTTCGGGATTCCAATGTAAACTGAAGACCAACAACAGCTCTCCAATAATCCTCCAGGTCTCCAGCACCAGTCTTGGACAGCTGAGACATTCAGATTCATGGACTAAGTAGCTAGTGGATTCTCAGACTTCCTGTTGTGAGACAACCATTGTTAGACTACCCTGGACCATGGCCTGTAAGCCACTCAAAGAAATCTTCTTTTAATATATGTTATATTATTAATAACATTTATATAACATGTAATATAAATTACACATTCATTCTACCAGTTCTGTTTCTTTAGAGAACCCTGACTGATAGGGAATGAGAGTAGATGAAAAAAGGAAATACTCAAAGCCCAGGATCAGACGCCACCTCATCTAGACTCCAACACCATCTGACTTTCTGGTTCCCTGGTCTCAAGGCTACAACCTCAGAACCATCCCTTAGATCTCAGAGCAGCTCTTGTTCTTTTCCTTTAGTCTTGAGTTCCCTTCCCAGCTTTCATCTGTATTTGCTTCCTGTACTGGTAGCTTTTCATGTTGCTGCAACCAACTACCCGAGAAAAAGCAGCGTGATGGGGAAGAGTGTATTATGGCTGAGGGTTTGAGAGTGAAGTCCCCCATGGTAGGGGAGGCATGGCTCTCACTGTGACTCCTTATCACCTCACATCTCAGAGGACCGAAGCAAAGACAACAGAAAGTGGGGGCAGGATTTAGAAGGTTTATAAACCTCAAGGCTTGTTCCCAGCAACCCACATCCTCCAGCTAGGCTCCACCTACAGAAGGTTCCACAACCTCCCAAAACAGTGCCATGGGCTGAGAGCCATGTGTTCACCCATATGAGCTTGTTGGGAACATTTCAAACCATATGGTTTCTCAAATTGCATCTGCCTCCTTAGAGTCTGGGTGACACCACAGTTTAAGTGGCTGTCACCCTGGTGACCCCAATCAATAGCTACACTCCAGCTGTTAGCCCCAACTCCAGCAAAGGGGCACCTCATTTCTGTCCTACCCTTCCTTCAAGATCCCACTCAAGTCTCAGCAGCTCCTGAAAGCATTTCTAATTGCTCCAGTCACTGGTGTTCCTCCCTCCTCCCTCCTCCCTCCTCCCTCTCTTATCGTCCATACCGTTCATTTCCTTTATGCATTCAACTAACAGCAACTGTATGCCTATTATCTGTCAGATCTTGAAAATACAGGGATACAGCTGGGAACAAAAGAGAGACAGATGCTGTCATTAATTTAACTCAGTCTCAAAAGATACAACATTAACCAAAATTGTATATAATTATGTGTGAACACATATAGATAAAGTGTGTATATATATGTATATATACATGCATTTAAATATAAACCAAGATAAGCCCTATGAAGAGAAATTATGGAGCATCTAGAATAAACTACTCTCAATTTTTCTGTGAATACCCCAGCGTAACTGAATGTTTCCTGAGCATACAGACCATATTTTACATAACTTAGCTAAAACCGGAAGCTCAGTTATTGATATTCAGCAGATGTTTATTAATGATGGTAGCGGCAGTAGAGGAGGACAAAGTTATGGAGGGATAATTTATTCATACCAGAGGCTGAAGAAATTGCACTTCTCTCTGCATCCCTACAGAAAGAAGGCAACATATAGAACACAATCGATGTGCTTGTGTGAACACGGGAACCGTCTTTTTGTGGTTTCTCCGGAAGGGGTCTGGAGGTCGTTTTGGAATGCTTACATGCTTGCCCCAAATGTTCATGCATTTTCAGCTTCTCTCCATATCATCATCTTCTAGAACTGGACATAGTGATATGTTGATGAATGCTTACTACCTGACTCTCAATAAGTGAAAAGACAGATGTGTAGCATTTACTGATCTCTTTGGAGTAAATGCTTTCATGGCCAAGTTTAAGCTATCGACATAGAGATGGAAAGGCATACAGAGCAGCCCATTTTAAAACACCAGACAGGGACAGTAGACACAAATAACAGAGCAGAAGCAATCAGGAGATATTAGGAGGTGACAAATTTGAAACATTTACCTTTTGGAATGTATATACTTTGCTTAATTATGTTTTAATACTGGCTGAGTTTATAAGCTGGTTTATTCACAAATGTATTCACTTATTTCATTCCACTGAGATGGTAAAAGCCACCTCCAGTACCTCCCAGACTCCAACTTACTAGACCCATACATCTCCCAGACAGGAAGCAATCGTAGTAAGCAAGGTCTTTAACTAGACTAAGGGGAGAAAGTCAAGTCATGTTCTGCTAAGTGACCCCCAACTCCCTTCTCCAGCTCTGGGGAACAAATCAAGTTCATACTGAAAGCTTTGCTGCAGTAAGATTGATTGCCAAGCAGCTGATCCAAGACTCACCCCTTCCCTGTCTCCCTCTGTCTGCCTCTACTACACAGAGCGGAAAAAGAAGCGTTCATTTCTCCACTTTTTGTGAGGTTGAGTCACTAACAGGGGCACTCTTGATGGCAGAGGCCTGTAATGCTAGCCATTACAGAGGCTGAGGCAGGAGAATTTCAAGTTCAAGGCCTGCCTGGGCTACAGAGCAAGTTCAAGTGAGAACTTGTCCCCAAACCAGAAGTGAAAAAGGCTGGGCCTGCTGAGCAAATGGGTCGGTTTATAAAATGCTTTCTATGCAAGCGTGAGAACCTGAGCTCATGCTCTAACACTCAAGGTTTAAAAAGCGGGAGGCTGTGTGTTTAAGACCAGCCCGGTGTACACAGTGAACACCAGGACAGCTACATAGTGAGATATAGACAGAAGAATGAATAGATAGGTAGATAGATGAGCAAATAAATAAACAAAAGAAAAAGAAAAAGCAAGGCACCGTTATATGTACCTGTAATCCAACTCTGGGACAAAGGAGACAGGAGGACTCATGGGTCTTGCTGTCCAGCCGGAAGAGCCAAATCCATGAATTGCAGGTTTGGTGAAACTCTGTCTCAAACATTAAGGTAGAGAGTTATTAAACAAGTACCTGTATACACACACACACACACACACACACACACACACACACACACACAAAGCTGGGGGGGGGTGTATAGCTCAATGTCAGAATGCTAGTCTAGGCCAGTGATGCCCTGAATTTAATCTACAGTACCATTAACAGCACCATCACCCCAATTCAACGAATCTCTCGTCCTCCCTCCCCATCTTGGATGTGACTACTGGAGTCACAGTAACGATTTTGAAACTGTGAAGCAATAGACACAGGGCAAAGCCAAGAAAACTGAAGATCTATCAGCCATGAGTTGAGTAGGCTCCTAAACTAAAACAAATAAAGCTCTCACTTTTTTTTTTTACCATCTTATGTTGAGTTTTCTGTTGTTGACTGCCAAAGGCACTCTCGCTCCATACACACAGGAGCGTCATCTGTTCTGGCTGCTTCTGCCCTCAGATCTGGGAAGGAAACAAGAGCAAAGACAACAGACTTACTGAGCACGGCCCTGGGTGCCTTTCACACTCCATTTTCTTTGAGCTTCACAACAACATTGTGGGGAGTGACATTTACAAAAATGTCTAACCCATCACACCTCATCTCACTTTATGTTTTTAAGGAGGATTTGATAGCCTGCGCTTATGTAGACCTTGAAAAATTAATTTCAATGTAAATGTTCAAAGGCTTGAGCACTTGCCCTTCTATAGGATATTAAAAGTACATCACACCACACGGACTTCCTGTTTGAAGAGGCTGCAAGTTGAAAGATGTGGCATCTATTCCTGCCTGCTGCCAAGCAACTGAGAACTTTCAGTTTGATTGACAGATACCAGGGAGAACTTTCCCTTTATTAAAGTTGTTCTCAACCTCAAAGAAATTAAAAAAAAAGAGTTCTGTGTCCTTCAGGATGGGGTGGTGGAGTCTGCTAAGGACTGGGCTGGCATTACCTTGGGTGGGGATGGTCCTCAACCAGGCAAGCTACTCTAGCGAATTTGAGATCACACTAGGTGTGGTGGTTTGAATGAAAATGGCCCCCATAGACTTATATATTAGAATGTTTGGTCCAGTTGGTGGAACTGTTTGGGAAAGATTAGGAGGTACGGCCTTGTTAGAGGAGGAAGTATGTCATTGGGTTCCAGCTTTGAGGTTTCAACAGCCTGTGCCATTCCCAGTTAGTCTCTCTCTCCATCTCCCTCTCCCTCTCTCCCTCCCTCATGCTTATGGATCAGGATATAGCTCTCAACTACTGCTCCAGCACCATTCCACCATTCCTGCCTGTATACTCCTCCTCGCCATAATGATCATGGACTCTAACCCTCTGGAACCCTGAGCCCCAACAAATGCTTTCTTTTATAAGTTGTCTTGCCGTGGTGTCTTTCCACAGCAACAGAAAAGTAGCTAAGACTCTAGGCCTCTCCCGATGAGCATCCAGAGAGAAAGGAGGAAAGAACAGTGTTTCCAGTCCTACTCAGCCAACACGAACACAAGCAGGAGTTAGAACTCAGTGGGTCTTTGTGAAAGAGGGAGGCTTCCCTGATATGAGTCAAGAAGACGAGGAAACCACATAAAGTGGCAAGGGAGAAAAGAGGGGGTAAGGTGAGAGGCCACAGTGTAGAAATTTCTAAAACAGCAAACAATACACTGTGTGCAGAAATGGAACTTCTATAACTGTTATTCTTCAGTCACCCTGGGGAGGGAGGTGCTTACTGAGTGTCAACTGTGAGCTAGTTACAGAGATGGGGTAGAGACATTTTCTTTTGAGACAGAGCCTCACTAGGTGGCCCAAGTTGGTATAAAACTTAGTAGTAGTAGTAGTAGTAGTAGTAGTAGTAGTAGTAGTAGTAGTAGTAGTAGTGCTATTATTATTAGTGCTACTATTACTATTTTTGCCTCAGTCTCTTGTGTGCCAAGATTACAAGCATACTGGCTGTAGCAGTGCTTTTAGAAGCAGGTATAATTTCCATTCTCATAAAGTTTATAGTCTGATAGAGAAGGTAAACAGTTAAGACAGGCTACAAGAAGGTGAGATGAGTATCATAAGTGAGTAGTACTATTTACATCCATTCAGCTGTTTGCTTGTGGTGTTATTACTATGCGATGAGGTAGAATAAAGAAAGCATAGGACAGTTACATCCAGTGGCCCTTGTTCAGCTCAGGTACGGAGACTGTTGATTTGCTCTTGGGTAAATCTCTTTGGTGGCTCAATACGTCTTTTTCTTTAAAACAAGATCAGACCAGAACACTATGACTCTATTACTTACATTAAAAAGGGTAGTGATAACTGGCAACATCTATGAATAACTCTCAGGCTGTTGTGATTGCCCATTTTAGCATTTGGAAATTAGTACATCCTAAAGTGTGCTCCAAGGAAGTCATGATTTCTTTAGCCCATCCTCACACCACACAGTTTGGGCTTCCTAGACCCTCCTTGTTAACACTGGGATGTTCACATCCGAGACTAGCCAAGAGCTGGTGGTACCAATACTCTATAACAGGGCTAGGTCTCTAGATCTAGATATTTAGGATTTTCTAGCTAAGTGTATTTTCAGAACAGCAATTTTTAGTCTGAAATCTCAAGCACCTTGGAGAAGTAATGATGAACATCCTAAAATGCAAGCCAAAAAAAAAAAAAACCCTCATGAAAATTTAAAGCCTGTGAGGTGTGGTGTGTTGGGGGGGAGGTGGAGGAGGTGGGGGCGTGTGAATATGTTTAGAAAAAAAGAAAAGAGTCCATGGGGCTCAACAGATTTTTCAAGATACCCATAATCCCCAAAGAATATGATACAATCTTTGTGTGATCTCCCCCTCTTCTGAATGCCATGGCTCTTGTATCCTTCACCCATCCTCCTACAGGGCTTTCCAACTTTCCTGCCAGACTATTACTTCCTCAAGGGTGGAGAATATAGCTTATTGAGTCAATAAACTACAGAGAAAACTAAATGGAGTTTATGTCATTTAGACTCTTTTTTTTTTTCTCTCTGACTATATAACCTGAGACATGGTACTCTCACATCACTGGGAACCACTTTCCCAGTGATAGATGTGAATGGCAGGGTCTAGACTTGCCGGGCCATCACAGGCCCCTCCAGATTTTGGTAGGTGAGGCTGGCAGAAGCAAGCCTTTCCTCTCTGGCTGCTGAGTGGTGCAGCAGTGCCCTCGTTCTTTTGAGGACATTTGTCTGCAGAAGGGAGGAATGGACCTAGTAAACATGGAAGCAGAGATTAGGAAAAGAACTGTTGCTTTCAATGTTTCTGAACGTCTCAGTTCTGTGAATAAAACACGCCCCCCCCCCTCTCGTTCATGTACTGTGGGATGGTCTGTATGTCAAATCTGTTGCTCTGATTGGTCAATAAATAAAACACTGATTGGCCAGTGGCCAGGCAGGAAGTATAGGTGGAACTAACAGAGAGAATTAAGGGAACAGGAAGGGAGAGACACTGCCAGCCGCCACCATGACAAGCAGCATGTGAAGATGCTGGTTAGCCACGAGCCACGTGGCAAGGTATAGATTTATAGAAATGGATTAATTTAAGATATAAGAACAGTTAGCAAGAAGCCTGCCACGGCCATACAGTTTGTAAGCAATATAAGTCTCTGTGTTTACTTGGTTGGGTCTGAGCGGCTGTGGGACTTGCGGGTGAGAGAGATTTGTCCTGACTGTGGGCCAGGCAGGAAAACTCTAGCTACATTCATGTGTGTGGGTGTTTCTGCTTGCACATGTGTCTGTGCAGTACTTGTGTGCCTGGTGCAGCACATGCATGCCTGGTGCCCAGGAAGCCAGAAGAAGGAACTGTAGTTACAGACAGTTTTGAGCTGCCATGTGGGTTCTGGGAATCAAACCTGGGTCCTCTAAAAAAAGCAACCAGTGCTCTTAACCACTAAGCCATCTCTCCAGCCCTTTTTCTTTAAGCAAGTTTCAGTTCAACTTTGGCCATAGACAACCAGAGTCCCAACTCATCCATTAAATAGGGATAGTAATTCTGAGATCTATCAGAGATCCAGCTCTCCCTAAGAGTATTTGAAAAAGAGTTCAGCACTACCCAGCTTTCCCTAAGAGTATTTGGAAAAGGGTTAGGCACTACTCAGCTCTTCCTAAGAGTATTTGGAAAAGAGTTAGGCACTACCCAGCTCTCCCCAAGGGTATGTGGAAAAGAGTTAGGCATTACCCAGCTCTCCCTAAGAGCATTGGAAAAGAATTTGGCACTACCCAGCTCTCCCTGAGAGTATTTGGAAAAGAGTTAGGCACTACCCAGCTCTCCCTAAGAGTATTTGGGGGGTTGGGGATTTAGCTCAGTTGTAGAGCGCTTGCCTAGCAAGCACAAGGCCCTAGGTTCGATCCTCAGCTCCAAAAAAAAAAAAAAAAGTATTTGGAAAAGAGTTAGGCACTACCCAGCTCTCCCTAAGAACATTTGGAAAAGATTTAGGCACTACCCAGTTCTCCCTAAGGGTATTTGGGAAAGAGTTAAGCACTACCCAGCTCTCCCTAAGGGTATTTGGGAAAGAGTTAGGCATTACCCAGCTCTCCCTAAGGGTATTTGGGAAAGTTGGGCACTATTAAGTACTACTGAGAATATTAATTTCCTACTAGGTCTTTATTATAAGCACTCTTTGGGGTTTTAAATTTACAAAGCTATTCAGGGTAAGCCAATAGGCCATTTGACCAACAGTTGGTAGACCCTTCTGTAGTGGGTAGCCATTCCAACTTTGATCTGGAAGTTCCAACCCCATTGAGGCTCCGGTAACTGTCATGCCTACAAGGCGGGGCCAAGAGAGGACCCTGAAGATCCGAGATCTGGATGTGCCGACTCTCTTGGTTCCTGGACCCTGGACGCTGGAGGTAGACCGAGCAGAGTTCTCCAGAGAACACCGCCGGACTGCGCTAAACCTTTCCCACACCCTGTAAACTATCCCTTCACTTGTAAGTTACCCCACAAAATAAACCTCCCTTTTAACTACGTGGAGTTCCCTTAATAATTTCACCAATACCCTTCCTTTGCCTCAAGTGGAGAGCTGTTAACCCAACAACGTCTCTTTGACTGTTATCATACCAGCCTGGCTTCTTTGAATACTCTACGACAGTTGCTCTGAGCAAATTCCTCTTTGCAAAGAGCCTAAAGCCATCACAGTGAAGAAGCCACAGCTTCAGCTTTGAGGCCTTGCTTTATCACAACTGCCCCAGACATCCTGCACTGACTCCAAGAGACTTCGCTTTTGCCATGACAAGCCTCTGTGGACTCCAGAGGACCCACCCCACCAAACCTATAGCTAGTCATACCCAGGAAGAGGGACCTTAGTAACTCAGCAAAATGCTTGTGATTGGTGGAACTCGAAGCTGTATACAAGCAAACCATTTTTCTGTCTCCATAAGCAGGCATTTTTTCCGCTCTTTCTGGATGAGTCTGAAAGGCTCCTCTCCTGTATTCTGTCCCCAAGTGCTACAACAGTTGGCCCCATTAAAGG